GGGGGCCCCGCCCCCCCCCCCCCCCGGAGGCTTCAGTCAAGTAAGGAAAGGGGAGACTGGAGCTCCCTGGGGGAGCTACGACTCTGGGCTGTACCCTCCCCTCCCACAGGGCTGAGGCTGGTGATTAGTTGGGTTAATTATATCCGAGCCATTTCCGATTGGCACAAGCCCACCCACCCACAGAGCCTGCCCAGAAGGCAGGCAGGCCCAGCCCAGTGTCGGGATGCTTGGGTGCCAGCTACTCTTGGAGGGGTCCTGAACCTCGATGGCCAAATGGAGGGTGGTGATTCTGCCCCTCCCGGACCTTCTCGTCTTCCCCTCGCCCAGGTCTCATCACTTTCTGCCACCGTCCTCATTTTTGCTTGTCCCCACACAAAGCCTTTGCCCTCCTCCCAGGTTTGGAATGAAATCATGGGGCTCTGAGTTCCGCACTAGGCCCGACATAAACACTCTGATTGGGGCTAATTATAAGGGCCAGGTTGGGAGGCTGGAGCCTTCAAGAAAGCTTTGGCTTTCAAACAAAGGGCCTAGGGCTCAGCCCCCAGCCGGGCAGGCTCCGCTCCAGGCCTCACTGGTAATGAGGAGGGGTCCCGGGCCATCAGGGCTCTTCTCTGAAGCCGATGGTCTATGAGCTTGCCCCACGTCCCAAGTCCTATCTTGTTCTTTCTCAGAGGCTGGCCTCAGCCCTTCCAGGCCTGAAATCCTGGGACCTTCCCAGAGGGCCTGGAGGAGCCACAAGTCTGCAGAGGAAGGCCAGGCAGCTGGAGAGGGGCTCTCAGCCTGCAAAGTTGAGGATGGGGTGGAAGTAGGGGGAGGCGCAGGGGAAGCCAGCTGTGACAGCCCCAACCCTAATTAGCTGGCTTCAAAGCCGGCTGGAGAGAGCCTGCGGTGTGTGTGCCCTGCTCACTCAGGCGAGTAAGACATTTCTGTCCTAATCAGAGGAGAGAGAGGGAGAGAAACTGCCCACCACCATCCTGAGGAGCCTCTCGACACTGGACTGGCACCCAGCGTCAGGGAGAAAAACTAGGAGCACAGGAAATGGTTCTAGTCCATTCAAAGGGTCAGTCACAATAGGAAGGTCTTTTGAGCCAGTGAGTCTATTCTTGGGAGTTTATCCTAAGTGCTTGGAAAAAGCTATAATGTATTGCGCTTCTCCATGTGCGACTCTGTATGCATCCTCTGATCTAATCCTCACAACAGCCTTATCAGACAGGCATTACTACTACCTTTAGACAGACGAGGGCAGGGCTCAGAGGTTAAAGTCTACAAGTGCTCCCAGCTGGTCCTATCTCATGCCAAAGGCTTTGCACTTCACACATAGTCTGTCTTTCCCCTTTTCCCACAACTACAAAAAGATTGCACATTCATTCCACTTTGCCACATCTTGATAACTTGTGGCCTGAGTGAAGAGCCAGCCTGCCTGGTTGGAGTGATTGACCTGGCTTGGGGGTGCTCCTGGTTTTGCAGGCCCAGTGGTTTTTCCCTCCTGAGCCCCTTTCCATAGCAGAGGTGATTAGGAACTTGGCTTGCTGGAGTCTGAGAAGGACTGCCCTTTGTAGAAGCGGGGATGAGATAGCCAGTAATCAGGACTAGAAAATGTCTAGACTGGGAATTGGAAAACTAGCTCGCAGAGGGCTCAGACAGATGGTTCAGAAACCTAAAGCTATATACAAAATCATGTGTTCACATGGGCCTGGTCTTTTTTTTTAACCCAGGAAGAAGTCCAAAGATTTTTCAGATGCTCAGGGGGCCAGTGGCCCCCAGAAGTCCCAGATCTATTCAGAGGTAAGGAAGATGCGCTCTAGAGGGGGAAGGAGCCCTGCTGCACTGAGCAGAGTGACAGCAAAAGCGAAAACTGGCCTTGGAAGTGGCAAGAGCTGGGCTTGGCTCTCCAAACACGTGCCCCACAGTGCTCCATCAGTGTTGACCCACTTCCAGAATCCAAACCAGATCAGGAACCCCAACCTCTGAAAGAGCTTTTTTGGAATAAACTTAAAAACAAAAAATTCAGAAGTTGGCAGCTCCAGGTCTCACTGAGCGTCCAGCCATTGCTCTTTGGTGATGTTCGGATTTTATCTTGGAAACATTTCTGAGGCTGGCTTTACAACAATCCTCTTATAGGACAGTTTGTAACTAATGGAAACGTTTTCGAGAAGGAAGCCTGAAGAAGGAGGAAAAGTAAAAGTTGATTAATGAGAAAGCCAGGGGATTAGCAGATGGTGTAGATTCCCATGTAGTCAACCACGGTTCAAGTCCCAAACCCAGTGTCAGAAAACTCACACCTGCACATGTGACCAAAATCCTGAGAGGAGAATGGAAAAGATCGTGGCCATATCCCTGGGCAGAGGGTGGGGGGATTTCTCACACTTGCCCTATAGCAAAAACCTCTCTATAAAGGGAGGGGAGGGGGATGCTGGGCTGGCAGGTGGCATGGCAGTTAAAGTGCTAGACTCCCACATAGTGGATTGTGTGCTGGACTCCACATGCTGGACTCCACATGGCGAAGTGACCTGGTGACCACTTTCCCTCTCTCTCTGTTTCTGGTCAAATTGAAAATAATAATACATAAAATTAAAATAAGTAATTCTTAAAAAAAAAAAAAAATAGAGGGAGCCTCTGAAGGAGAAATGCTGAGACCCTAGCTGGGAGTGAAGGCAGAGAGCGGTGAGGAGAGGGCAGCCCAACCTGAGTATGCCCCAGGCTCAGGGACCTCAGGTGAGAGCACTTCCTTCTAGGCCAGATTCTGCACCAGATACAAAGCCTCACTCTTCAGAGGGAGGAATCAAACCACTAACAACATGTAAACCTATATCCTGCCTATAGGGCAATCTAGAAATCTGCAAAAGCAGGCCTCCAAGCCCGTGGGTTTTTAATTTAACTTTATTTATTTATTTTAACTTGACCAGAGAAAGAAAGAGAGGGAGAGAAAGTGAGAATGTGAGCTGCCAGGTCCAGGACTTGAACCACTGTTGGCTATGTTGGAGTCCAGGATCCCCAACCACCACACCACCTGCCAGCCCCCAAGCCCATGTTTTTGACTGGGTGCTCCAAATGAGAGCGTGAAGACTCCCAACTGTGAGCATTGAGCTCAGGTAGTTCACCTTGGATGGCCCTCCAGAGCACTTCCTCTGCACAACCTACTTCCCCACCCTGTGCTCTAAAGCTCCCTTCCCCTAAGAGTTATTTCACTGAAGAAATAGGATGGAGTGGGTGGGTGTAAAGGGTGCCCCCCCGCCCTTTCTGTAAGCTAATTCAGCCCTTGGTTAGCCCGTTGGAGAAGGGGAAGGCATCTATTAGATCTATTCTTTCCAAAAGAGGCAATTAGCTTATAATCTAGCCTCCTCCCCAGTCATAAAACCTATTTTGTCAGTTTTCTCAGGCCCTTCTATGCTGGCAGAAGACGCCGAGGTGGGGGAGGGGCTAGAAGAGAAGAACAGTCCTTACCCAAATGCCTGCCCTGCCACCCCCACTCAGGGAAGGAAAAGGTCATTATTGCTAGTTCTGTCTCCTTGTGCTGTAGCAAAGCATGTAGAGCCAAGGCCCTGGGGTGCTTAAAGGTGAAGGAGATGCTCCCCAAATCTTCAACAGAGAGCAGAACTCTTCTTCCCATTGGGCTCACTTCCAAACCCTGGAAAATCCCACTGGATTCAGGGCTTTCACCATTATTACCAGGAGAGGCATTCACAATTTGTTTGTCATCTAACTCTTT